GGGGGGGGAGTAGAAAGAGGAGACGAACGCAGATGATAGAGCATTGCTAAAGAATAGGACAAGAGTTGAAAGGAGGCAATTTCAGAGAAGAAAATGTTTCGGTCGCTACCCGGATTCGAACCCGTGATCTTTGAATTAGAGGCGAACACCTTAACCTCTAGGCCACGAGAGCCTCCTTCATAAGGTGTGCTGACCGATATAATTAATAAATGTATCGTATAAAGTTTGGAGTGATGTTCTTGAACTGAAAGAAAATTGACAAACTTATATGTTATAACTTCCTCTGAAATATCAATCATTCTACCTTGCTCACATGGCGTACTGTGAACATGCAGAAATCATGAGATGATCAAAGGACCTTCCCTGTTCTCTCCTCCTCTCATTAAATCGTTGTCTCACATTGTTTTCTGCAAACATTTCATTATTATATGTCTGAGCTCATGATATAGAACTAATATAAAATACCTGGTGCAGTGTGTTTTACAACTCAGATGTCCCTGTTATCAATTTGGCAAAATAGAATTACTGAAATCTCCGCTCTAAGGAATATTATGATGTATATTATGTATCCTACAATCACCAATGAAGACAACAACTGTTTTACGAATCTGTTCGCTCCACAAATCTGTGTACATTCAAAAAGGTTCAACACAATGTCCAGATTGTACAAACTGATTTATTTCCTGCTGAGTTAACATTTTTTCTAAGTGAATAAGTTGACATACTATCATGTTCCTCCCTCTCGCTTTAGCTTTCGCGCCAAAAATTGATTAATGAATTTAAAAATATCTTTTCCTTTCAGCATTACACCTAACTCTCCCCAAAAAGCAGAACGATGTCCAAGTTATCGACATTAGGTTTCCTTGTCGCTGTTTTGGCGGTGTGTGCCCTGGACCACCTGACCACCTCGGCCTCTGTGGGTCGAGTGATCAGACAGATCTCCAACGGCTCTTCCCCCAACGGCACACACAGATGTATTCCTGACTTGACGTTCCACTACAACGAGACCACCGGAAGCTGGCAAGCCGTTCTTCCACCTGTACCCGTCAACGGATCCGATTCCAACGCCAATAGTACTGGTTTCTCCCCTATACCCGTCAAAGTATCCTCCAATAGTACTGGTTTCTTCCCTATACCCGTTAATGAATCTGTCAATAGTACTGGTTCCAACGCCAATTTGACTAATTCTCTTCCTCTGGCCCTCAACGGATCTGCCAACAGCACTAAATTTGTAGTCAACGGAACCGATTCCAACGCCCATGTTACAGACTTCTTCCTTGGTGTCGCCAATAGATCCATCTCCAGCGTCAATAGTACTGATTTCGTCCCTCTATTAGTCAATGGATCTGCCAATAGTACTGATTCTGACGCCAATTTTACGAATCATGTTCTTCTTGTAGTCAAAAGATCTGCCAATAGCACTGATTTCTTTCCTCAAGCCCTCAATGGATCTGCCAATAGCACTGATTTCTTTCCTCAAGCCCTCAATGGATCTGCCAATAGTACTGATTTCTTTCCTCAAGCCCTCAATGGATCTGCCAATAGCACGGATTTCTTTCCACAAGCCATCAATGGATCTGCCAATAGTACTGGTTCAAACGTAAATTTTACCAATTCTGTTCCTGTTGCTCTAAACGGATCTGCCAATAGCACTAATTTCTTCCCTGTTTCAGTCAATGGATCTGCAAATAGTACCGGTTCTAACGCTAATTTGACTAATTCTGTTCTTCTTGTAGTCAATGGATCTGCCAATA